CCCACGCTGCGCTCGCTCGGCACGATACACCTTTGTGATCAATCATCCAGGTTGTCTTGGGCTGGAAATTTGTTTCACTCTGTCTTTTTGTGGGTTCTGCTGCTTCAGAATTTGTTTAGAGCTATTTTTTATGAGTATTTGGAGGGGCTTGGGGGAGAGCTTAAGCAAGTCACTGCTTTCACTCTGCCATCTTGGCTCCGCCCCCCTCTAAAATAATTTTTGATAGTTTGATTGGTATGTCACTGAACAAATAGATTAATTTGGGTAGAATTGCCGTTTTTATCATATTGGCTTGGCCTACCCATGAGCAATTAATATTTTTCCCAGTTGTTTAGATCTGACTTTATTTGTGTATAAAGTATTTTATAGTTGTGTTCATATAGTTCCTGGACATGTCTTGGTAGGTAAACTCCCAAGTATTTTCTATTGTCTACAGTTATTTTAAATGGAATTTCTCTTTCTATCTCCTGCTGCTGGACTTTGTTGGTAATATATAGAAATGCCAATGATTCATGTGAGTTTATTTTGTATCCTGCAACTTTGCTAAAGTTGTTAATAATTTCAAGTAGTTTCTTTTGGGTTGATTCTATAGGATTTTCTAAGAATAATGTCATATCATCTGCAAAGAGTGATAGTTTTTTTCCTCATTTCCTATTCTAATTCCTTCAATTTATTTTTCTTCTCTTATTGCTATAGCTACCATTTCTAGTACAATATTAAAGAGAAGAGGTGATAATGGGCATCCTTGCTTCACCCCTGATTGTATTGGGAAGTCTTCTAGCATATCCCCATTACAGATAATACTTACTGATGGTTTTAGATAAATATTACTTATCATTTTAAGGTGAGCTCCATTTATTCCTATGCTCTCTAGAGTTTGTAACAGGAATGAATGCTGTATTTTGTCAAAGACTTCTTCTGCATATATTGAGATAATCATATGATTTGTGTTGGTTTTGTTATTGCTATGGTCAATTATGCTGATAGTTTTGCTAATATTGAATCAGCCCTGCATTCCTGATATAAATCCCACCTGGTTGTAGTGTATGATCCTTGTATATATCTTGATGTATCTTTTAACTAGTATTTTATTTAAAATTTTTGCTTTAATGTTCATTAGGAAAAGTGGTTGATAATTTTCTTTCTCTGTTTTGGCTCTTCCTAGTTCAGGTATCAGCACCATATTTGTGTTATAAAAGGGATTTGGTAGAACTACTTCATCTATTTTTCCAAATAGTTTATATTGTATTGGCATTAATTGTTCTTCAAATGTTTGGTAGAATTTGCTTGTGAATCCAAGCAAGTATCTTTTAATTTCATGGCTGCAGTCACCATCTGCAATGATCTTTGAGACCAAGAATATAAAATCTGGCACTGCTTCCATTTCTTCTCCCTCTATTGGCCAGGAAATGATAAGACCAGATGCCATGATCTTATCATTATTGTTTTTAATGTTAAGCTTCAAGCCAGCTTTTGCCCTCTCCTCTTTAATCTTCCTCGAGAGGCTTCTTAATTCTTCACTTTCAGCCACCACAGTGGTATCATCTGTATATTTGAGATTGTTGATATTTCTCCCAGCAACCTTAATTCCAGCTTTTGATTTCTCCAGCCTGGCATTTCACATGATGTATTCTTTATATACATTAAATAAATGCAGGGACAATATACAGCCTTGTCCTTTCTCAATCTTAAGCCAATCATTTATTCCTTTTTCAGTTCTAACTCTTGCTTCTTAACCTCAGGAGACAAGTAATCTATTCATCACTTCCCCTTCATATTCATAAGAGATGCTATGTAGGTCTAGTCTTATGGTTTTCCCTATTTTCTTCTATTTAAGCCTAATTTTGCAATAAGAAGCTCATGATCTGAACCACAGTCAGCTCCAGATCTTGTTTTAACTGAGTGTATAGAGTTTCTCCACCTTCAGAGAAATCAATTTGATTTGAATATTGGCCATCTGGTGATATCCATGTGTACAGGTTGCCTTTTGGGTTGAAAAAGATTGTTTGCCATGACAAGCATATGATGAATGTGACATCTTTTTTTTTTTGGTGTAATTTCTAGAAGATGTCTTAGGTCTTCATAGAACCAAGAAACTTTGTCCTCTTCACCATCAGTGGTTGGAGCACAGACTTGTATTCCTGTGATGTTAAATAGTTTGCCTTGGACTCAAACAGATGTCATGTTGTTATTTTTGAAATTATACCCAAATACTGTTTTTCTCACCCTTTTATTGACTATGAGGGCTACTCCATTTCTTCTAAGGGATTCTTGACTACAAGAGTACATGTAATGATCATCTGAATTAAATTCACCCATTCCTGTCCATTTAAATTCACTGACATCCAAAAGATGTTGATGTTTAAGCTTTCTGTCACCTGTTTGACCATATGCAACTAGGTGGCACAGTGGATAGAATGCCAGGCCTGGAGTCAGGAAGACTCATCTTCCTGAGTTCAAATCTGGCCTTAGATACTTACTAGATGTATGACCTTGGGCAAGTCATTTAACCCTGTTTGCCTCAGTTTTCTGAGCTGGTAAAGGAAATGGCAAATTGCTCCATTATCTTTGCCAGGAAAACCCCAAATGGGGTCACAAAGAGTTAGACATGACTGAAAAATGACTGAACAACAACAAAAACTTATCTTGGTTCATAGATCTTATATTCCAGGTTTCTATGCAATATTGATTTTTGTAGCATCAGACTTTCCTTCCTTTTGGCTTTGGTCCAGCCACTTCATTCTTTCTGGAACTACTTGTAGTTGTCCTCTGCTCTGCTCTAGTAACATGTTGGACACCTTCTGCCCTGCCGGGGGTCATTTTCCAATGTCATCTTTTATCACGTTAGTGCTGCCTATGGGTTTATTGATTGACTGATTAATGCCATAGCAGTATGTCATAATTACATTAATAAAGACAATTAAATTGAAGCCTGGTTCACTGGGGGCTATTATTAGTCAACAAGAGATACTTTGTTTCTCAAAGTTGAGTAAATTTGAAGTTGAATTATAAGATTTTTAAGTTGGAAAGGGCATAGAGTTGATCTAATCTAACTCCCTCATTTCACAGATGCGGAAACTGAGGCCAAGAGAGGTTAAGTGACTTGTTCAAAGTCAAACAGGTAGTAAGAGGCAGCAACAGGACTAGAACCTGGGTCTCCTCATTCCTAGTCAATCACTTTTCCTAGTAGTGTTAAAAATTTTATCCCCCCCCCAATAAACTTGCTTAAGGAATGAGAAATAAGTTGGACACTGTTACTGAGCACCTATTTTCTTATATTTCCTTTGAGGGGAAATAAAAAGCAGACTTCAAACCAGAAACCACTGTTGCAGGAAATCTAAATATTGATTTTCATTAATACATACTTACAAATATAATAATACATTTAGCACATAACTTAATGATGTATCAGGGTAACATAAATTTTAACCCTCATAATAAATATAAGATTTATTTGTCTAAAACTTGGGTTTGTACATGCAAATTAGCTGGAAAGACAGATCCAGAAATGAATGTTAAGTCTTTATTATCTTCATGGTCCAAGTAAACATTAACTATAATTTGAATCATCCAGAAGATGTACATAGAAATATCCAGTGCAACACTACAGAACAGCATTACTTTAATAACTGGCCTTTTGTGGGTGTGAAATGTATAACTAACATTTTGAGAAATTTTCTTTACTATTTTTAAAACAAGGAAATGAAGGGGGTGGTGGGTTAGGCTAGATAATCTCTAGCATCCTTTCTAATTCAAAATTTCTATGATTCCAATCCAATAAGTGGGGGAAAGTTAAACTAGCAATCACAACTTATTTTTACATTTCACTTATTTTTACACTATTGACATGCCTTTGTTGGTTTTGTTCAACATTAATTTATGTATGTTTTCATCTCACTTTGACCCTCAGAGGGTAACAATTGAACTCTCTTGTATATATCTGAATCTCTGGAATGGCATACAATTGGTAAATGATTAGGTAGGATGATCACTGAAGTGTTTATTTGACGCTGTGGTTTATAATATGACATTTTATGCAGGTTAGAAATATCATATTTTAAACTTTTGCTGCAAAAAAGAATCAACTGCCTCTTTTAACCTTTTCTCCCTTATACTGTCTTTAATTACAAAAGATATTCTCAACCTATCTCCAATGCACTAATCAGTAACCACAGTGGCCTGCCAGAAAACCAAACAATTTCTTAGCCATATCCATTAGAAGTATGCACTGGGTGGCTTAAAAATATGGAGGCCAGATTCTCTGAATATGAAATGGTAGGTGAATTTTGATTGACTTTTAAAAGAGGAATAGGATCATAAAGTTAGAGCTATCCCGGTCCTTACAGGTCATGAAGTCCACCTCCCTCATTTTATAGATAAGGAAGCTGAATCCCAGATGGGAGAAGTGATTTGCACAAAGACCCAGAGATGACTTGTAGCAGCAGCAGATTGAAACCCAAGTCTTGACTCCAAATCCAGTATTGTTTCCGGTAACTCACTCCCGTACGAATGTCTGACCACATTAAAAATCAAAGCAATGTTTGAGGCCGGGTTTGTGTGAATGAGACCAGAACATTTGACTGGTAATGATTTTCCAGAAGCAAACAATTATACATAAGTAGCATGTCCTCGATTCTCTACTTGTTTTTTGTTGTTGTTCAGTTGTTTCAATTGTGTCTGACTCTTTGTGACTCCATTAGGAAAGGAGAGGAGAGGAGAAGAAAGAGGGGAAAGGGAAGGAAAGAATAGGGGAGAAGAGAGGACAGGAGAGGAGAGGAAAGGAGAGGAAAAGAAAAAAGGAATATTTTAACATTATCCATCTGGTATATTTTCTTCCTCGGTCACTGGGCAAATGGGAAACGTGGTAACCAAAATGGACTTTCTGTTCTATTCAAGTACTACTGAGAAACTATCACCTTGGAATACTGGAATTCATTCTTCTTTGCCGTCGTATATATTGTTTGAAAAGCGACACCAGCTATTCTTTTTCTTCCCTTTAGTTTGGATGGCATGACAACTACCATGTGATCTCCTACAAACACAAGTACGGTCTCCAGGGCTTTGCATGAAGGTTTGTGTTAAAGTGATATCTCTCTGTGAAGAGGTGCACGGACCCATCAAACAGTTTGAAATGCATCGGTCCTACCATCCTATGTTTAATTACTGTGAAAATATATTCAACCAGAAATCGTGGGAGAGAGCCTACAAAGACCACAGGAGAAAGGTAGGCACAGTTCTAACCTTGTGACTGAGAATGGATGATTTTGATAGACAAGCAATATTTTCAGATCCAAAAGAGGATAGTTCTCTCTCTAGTATTTCACAAATGGGAGTTTGTAGGAGAAAGGCTAATAAGCACCATCATCTGGTTAAATACCAGAGCAGCCTTTAGTGCATTCCGTCATTACCCAGACTACAGACTCAGGGCTGAAGGAGACCCTTTTGATTCCCTATTCATTTCTCTGACACTGTCTGTTTCCCCACAACACATTTCTGACTGCCACATGCTAGCATGTGTCTGAGTGATGCTGGCAAGGAGGGAGGGATTCCACCAAATTGGACTTGTCTCAGGAGACCCTTTCTCACCATCTAATTGATTTCATTGTTAGGAAGTATTGTTCTGCTATTTATAGATGTATGCCCAATTGAGGTCATTAGCCATACTAATGAGGGTTTCTTGTGTATCCCATATGGTAGCTTTAACTCATCAGAGCAGGGAGCCAGGCTTGAGCAAATCCAGTGTTCTGGATTCAAGAGGATACAAATGGCAAGAGGAGGGAACAAAAATTAGCCCACATAAAAGAAATAATTATATATTCAGTAGGCACTGTTCAACAGTAGCTAAATAAGGTGGTAGTTCAATACTTCCACTGGGGAATGAAGAGGCATATTGCTAACATCCATCATAGTTATACAATGGCCTCTGAAAAATGGAATTTGGCTCTTCACACATGTCACTTGAAAGCTACGTTATGGTCTGTAGTAGGGATTCTTAACCTGGGGTTCATGATAAAAAATGATAATGATATTCTAATATAGTTTATTTCCCTTATAATCCCATGTACTTTATTTTATTCATTTTAAAGCAGTCTTCTGAGAAGGGGTCCATGACACAAAAAACATTAAGGACCCCTCCTAGTATATAACCTTTCACAGGATACTTTCTTTTATTATTATAATGCTAGTGAAGTGATGTATTCAGGGCCTGTCAAGTCTTTTTAATTATATATGCTGCGTTTCACTAAAGAATACAGTTTCTTCCCCTGATGCAGAGATAACAGAAGGAATATATAAAACAGTATTTGTGAAATATTACTATTTTACACAGAAATCTAAAAGGATTTTTAGGCATGGTTTTAGAAATTTTTATCACCATTTCCCATAAGTTTTATTATATATGTTGACCATTTAATTCATTCTCCATTAAACATAATGTAGTTTTAAATGTAGCATGTTTTAGGACATATTGTACATGTATACTTCTTTTATCAAATCTTCTATGAAAGATTGATAGAAAGACATAGATGAAAATTGTGTCAATTAAGAAGATGCCAAGATATCAGAGTTGAAGGCAACTTTAGAGATCAGTTAGTCCAACGGCTCACTTCAGAGATGAGAAAACTGAGGCTAAAAGAGATGACGTGACTTGCGCAAGGTCTTGTACCACTTGACTCCACTCCTACATCATTGTGCCCACCTGTGCATGGCCACTACTGCATAGCCATTGCCAACAGTCACCAAAGTGCGTCACCAGTGTGTCAGGAAGATGCTTTCAGTGATGGGTCACTGTGGTAGCTGTAGAAAGGAAAGGCCTTTCCTCCCCATTCAGCACAATGAGGAGTACAGACAGATGTGTTCCTAATCCTATCTTTTATTTTTGGGCTCCAAATAGTTTTTTCCCCAAAGAAACAATGTAATAGATGAAAGTTTCTACAGAGAGACAAAATGGCATAAAGTCCTAAGGAAGGGCTAGATTCAGGTTCTGTCTCTGACATTCTCTAAGGTAGAAGTTTCTCACCAGAAGCTCCCTACACAGATGAAATAACAAATCTGATTTTTTAAAAAAGTTTCTGGAGCATTTGGTTCAACTACTTTGTGGGTTACATAGCCTTTTGTGGCCTGTTAACCTAACTACCATTGACAACACTGTTTCTATGGATAAATGCATTCTACGTTCCAAACAACTGACCTCTAAACAAATTTTCAGAACCAGCTTGTGAGTTGGAGACTACCAGTAAAACAGGTTTCTTCACTGTCACTTCCTATTTCGGGTTTATCACTGGACAAATGCTATTAGAACTTGGGAAAGTCACATTGGTTACTTAGATGTCAGTTTCTTCAAGAGAAATAGCAAAATGAAGAACCTATCCAACAAGGTCATTGTGAAGAATAATATGTAAAATGAATCTGCCCAATTTTCTGACAATTCAGAATGTCATAGATCTGCACTTGACAGATACACCTGAAAATCTATGATAATTCAGAATGTCATGGACTATTAGAGAAAACCCTTGCATTTACCTGGTGGTGGGGAGGGGTGACTCTCTGCCATTCTAAAGGGGGCAACGAAAGGTTTTCTCCTCTTAGCAGTTCCAAAGATGGAAGATTGGCAGGCCTTTGGGTTAGCTCATCTTCTGGCTATCTCTAGTTTATTTTTTAAAAGAATAATTTTACATACCCCAACCTATCCCCACAATTATGAAAAAAAAAAAGACAAAATACAAAAAAGACATAGTCTAGGATTTCCCTTAGGGAATAAGGAATGAAGGTCATTGAGGTATAGCAGAAGAGAACAATCCTGAGAATCAAGAAAGCTAAGTTCCAGTTCTGATTGCCACTACTGAGCTCTCTCTCTGGGCCCCAGTTTTCTCATCCGTAAAATGAGGGACTGGGAATAGACAATTTCTAGTAAAATTCTGTTATTTTCAGTATGTATTACCTACTGTGTATGTGGTACTAAAGTAGTCATTAGGAGTTAAAAGAAATAGGAAATGATACGCTGGCTTATAAGAATCTTACTGAATCTTGGAGGGGTTTGGACAAACATACATAAAACAACACACAAAATGACATTTAAGTAAACGCTAACATTCAGAAGAGCAGTCAAAAGATTTGTGTATTCAGTGTTATCTTGAAGATTCAAGAGTCATCCCTAACCTGATAAAAAGACAGTTCTTCCACTCCTCTGACCCTGTGTGCTTTGCTAAGAGCCAAATCTGGGCTACTGACGTGTGAATGGCAGAGGGACCCCAGTCTAAGGCTCTGGACTGATGACATTTAGCCCTTAGGCCTGTTGTCACTCTTTTACCACTCTCCAGCCTTCATTGCACAAGTCCATCTTCATTCTGACTGCAACTGAAGCCCTGACATCAGATGGAGTTTCTTGGGAGTTATGGTTATTACCAGAAACCAGTATGAAGTTTGCACACACACACACACACACACACATACACCCCCCGCCCCAAATATACAATTCAACTTCAGCCCAACATACTTTAGTAGGCTGAACGGCTCAGTTGTGTGTGTTTTGTTTTTGTTTTTTAAGGACTAACTCCCCTCTCCTACATTGCAGCCATTGGCATAATTCCCAATCCTTTCTCCTTAACCCTTAAGAAAAGGTCACATACAAATTAAAGACTAATGGGACACACCAAGCTATCTATCTCTTTAAATGTTTGTTACCTGCTAGAATATGCATTGTAATCAGGCTTCAAGAACCATAGAATTATAAAGCTCAATGCTGTTCCAATGCCCTGTCTTAAGCAAGAGTAATGTTAAAACTTTCACTTCAATTCAACTGAACAGATATTTTAAAGGCCCTACCATGTGCTTGCACCCCTAGATGATTGTCTTTCTTGTCCACCCTTAGTTTTTCCTCTGAAGGCCAATTCAACTGCCTTTGACTCTTTCCCCATTCTCTGTGAGTTTATAGTGCAATAGGGGGAATAAGGCACAACATAAATCACAACAAAAGACAGTATAGTATCTCTAGGGGATGGGTACTAAAATTTGATGCTGATGAACTTTAAAATTACAGGTAAAAAGTTCTCCTTACATAAAGCTGAATTTTCTCCATACATTTTAAGCCCATTTCCTCTCACTTAACTACAAAGATGAAAAACTGGCCAGCATTTAATAATAATCTTTTTTATATAGACATCTCTGTAGACTTATAGAACATACTGTTGAAAAGTTGTTGGGAAAGCAAAATTCTGTTATACCTAGCCCTGCTTCCCTACTGGCTTCCATGAAGATGAGTTCCTACAGAAATATAAATTAGTATTAATTTAGCCTCAAGAGCGAGCAGAGTAGAAACTGAGGTTATGCAAGACAGGCAACCATCTAGGCTGTAAACACATAGGGAAAGCTTATCTAAACTTTGTATTCCTGCCCTCCTCTCCCCCACTGTATAACAAATACAGTGCCTAAGGCTTTAGGAACACAAATGTGAAAGATTTATTTGCAAAGTATGTTGGGCTGAAGTTGAATTGTATATTTGAGGTGTGTGTGTGTGTGTGTGTGTGTGTGTGTGTGTGTGTGTGTGTGTGCAAACTTCATACTGGTTTCTGGTAATAACCATAAGATTAACAAAGGGAAAAAAAGGGATACAGTGCCAGGCATTTGCTCTTGAGGCTAAATTAATAATGAGATAATATTTGACTTGCCCAGGATCACACAGCTAGTAAGTGTCTGAGGCTGATTATGGGCTTGAGTCTTCTTGACTCTAGGACAAGTCTCTTTCCATTTTCCCAGATAAGGCTAGTCTCTCTCATAGGTAAAAAATTCCCTTTGATCTCAGTCTTGCCTTCTCCTTTTTTCTTTTAACCCAGGTACTGCTGGATATGTCTTTGGCGGTGGGAAAAGGGCACAACCTTAACTTCCCTGTCACTCCTGCTTTCTGGTAACTAGGGTCCTTATCTTAACAAAAATATCTAATCTTACTTTGGCTCTGATGCTGCCAAGTTTGTGTTTTCTACAAAACAAAACAAACAAACCAAAAAACCCTACCATAACAAAACAAAAGCAAAACAAATAAGCAAATAAAAAACCATCTACAACTCATTAGAGAATATTCCTACAGACAGGCTTCTAAGATTAGAACTTTACCTTCTAGCCCAAAATTTTCCATATTGCTGTTTGCCCCAAGGCAAAATTCTGCATGTAGGTATCTTACTTTGTAGAAAAGAGTTTTAATATCACAGTATTTCTAGTCAGGAAGGACTTTAAAAATCATGTAGTCCAATCACCTCATTTTACAGAAGAAGAAACTGAGGCCCAAAGAGGCCATTACTTGCCCAAGGTCATGCAGTGTGTAAGTAGCCCAGCACAGATTCAAATTCAAGCTGTTGTATCAATGGAATTTAATCCCACCTGTCCACTAGTTTACTGTATCTAGTCTTTTAAAAATTCTTTATCTTTATTTCTGATTGTCCTTTTCCTTGGCAGATGCTCTGAATACTCCAGGTTTCTGTTATCTTTCAATGTTCCTCAGTCAAAATGGCCACCATCAGTAAAGCAAAAACTTAAAAAACACTAGGGGAACTGCTGTTTCAAAGACCTCCTTTTTAGAACGCAAGTAACTCCCACCATTCCCCCCATTTGTGTAGCATATTGGATGTTCTTAAATTCTAATTAATCCCTTGATTTATAAATCCCCCAAATAGAAATTCTACTGTGTAGCTGTTTATTTTGCAATTAACAGAGAGTTAAGGCTGTCTACTTGAAGACCTAGAATTCAAACATAGGCCAGTGTTAGCATTCCTAATTAATGACCAAAAGGACTTTTGGAAATACACAGTGAAGTAGAAATGACCATTAGCAAGTAAATCTTTTGTTCTTTTCACCTAATTCTTCATTTTAAAACATAAATTGCATAGGTTTCTTTTTCCCTTCCAGTGCCCACAAAGTGATCATGAAATACTGAATGAAACCATTACGTCACTAATAATTCTTTTTAATTATTCTTAGCTTTAAAGTGGTGTGGTAAAGTTGATGAATAATAATTTGTAAATATTTTTCCATCAAGAAGCAGCATATCATATGAATGGAAAACCTCAGGGTGGGGACAACCTAGATTCAGGTCCAGAACCAACGATCAATCGATCGCTGTGTGGCTTATAGTAAGTCATTTAACCTTGCAATGCCTTGAGATCACTCTCTAAAACTCTTAAGCTGCAGACCCCCTTACAGATCTGCACTGGTAGAGAGAGTTATCCCACCAGAAGCTCCCTATACCAGTAAAATCACTGGTACTATGAAAAGTGGTAGTAGTGATCTGTGTTTGTGTGTTATACATTTACGTATGTGTGTCCGTATACAAATATATTTCTAAATTCCATATCTATTTATCTTCTGTTTAGTAACTAATCTTCTTCCCCCATATATATACATTCACATACAAACGTAGATATTCCTCCACTTGACAGTGGCTTGATTTACCCTTTCAGAAGACCTTGAAGGTTGAAGGTCTACCAAACCAGAAAGAGTTGGAGGATAGGGTCATTCTTAGACTATGTATCTTTCTTCCAAGAACTAGGTGGAACTAGTGTGGAAAGGTTCATCACCAGAAAGTCTGGCACGAGGGATATTTTGTTCTGTTTTGTTTTCCCCTAGCACCTCATAAAAACTATCTCTTGAGGCACATGTACGTAATTGTTTGTATGTTGTGACTCCCTCATTCGACTGTGAGGTCCTTGAAAGCAATGTTGGCTTTCTGCTTGTCTCTATAGGCCCACCACTTAGCACAGTACCTGGCATATAGGAGTTGCTTAATAAATGCTTTTTTGACTGACTGACTGACTGACTGACTATAAGGGGTTCGATCTCCACTGGTGGAGAGAGTACTCATAGATGGAATTTCTGGGGGTGGTGGGGGTACTGATACAACAACAGTCAGCTACTTGGAGGAAAACAAACAAACAAACCCTGTAAGACACACTTTTAAGCTTAACCTACAACATTTTCTCGTTAAGTCTAGACTCTAGACAACCAATAAAAGAACAAACCAAGTCCTGATTTGTAGCCTGTTTTCCAGGTGTAAATACTCACACCAAAAATTAAACAATTAGCTCCCTAAGTTGGTATGAGGTGACTCCAGCACGCACTCCCCTTGTGAGTTGTCAAGCTAATAACATTTTTTAGGGATCAAAACTGTGATTCCATTTCTGATAACAATGTGGCTATAAATCTTGGCAGATGTTATTTGATCATCTGCACTTGGAAAAAAAAATGTTCATTTTCTGCTTGCAGGTTGAGAATGCCAAAGCAGTAGTGGATTGCAGTCCTCCTTTGATCTACAACCATATTCAACTCAATCTAAAGAAATTCAAGGTATCCTTTGGGTGATTCTCTACATTAATGTAATAGCTAACAATAATTTAAAAAAATAGTCAACTGCAAACCCAGGGAAATTTAAAACATCAGGCACAAAAACTGTTTTTTTAAAAAATCATATTTTATAAAAAGGACACAGTTGGAGAAACCAACTTAACCTCACTTGTTCCTGAATAGAGCTTAGAGGTCACTGCACCAGAAATCATTTTTTCTTAGCATTACGCCTTTTCTTATTACTAATTTTTTTTAAAAATTATAAGGGGAGATAGAAGGAAAATGGCAGTAGAAATAGGATTAAGAAAAACATATTCCTATCAACCAAGCACTCTGCCAGTTCTAAAGGTTAGGGTAATTTTCACCACTTAACTATATTGTAAGAAAGGTACAGCTGCATGTGGAGAGTTGGTATGGCATGGTTGCTCAGATAATACCTGATCATAAAATCAAAATATCATGGTTTGAGGTTTTCATTTGTTTGTTTCTTTGTTCTTAAATGGTATTGCCTCTGTATGTTGGGGTTGACGGTGATGATTGAAAAAAAGAGCATGAGTTCATTCATTTTAAAGAGAAAAATAAACCAGGAATCAAGGAATCAAGGAGTAGTCTTAAATGGACAGGATCAAATACAAACAACCAACCCAGAGCAATCCAGGCTAGTATTTCTGAAGTCTAAAAGGTCAAACACGGGGGCAGCTAGGTGGTGCAGTGGATGGCGCTCTGACCTTGGAGTCAGGAGGACCCGAGTTCATAATCCGGTCTCAGACACTTGACACTTACTAGCTATGCGACCCTGGGCAAGTCACCAAAAAGGAAAAAAAAAAGTCAGACGTGTAATGAAAGGCTAGCCCTCTCCTCTGGCCTCAAAGCTTTTTCACTTTGGAGCCCTGTGAAACCTCCCCTGTGGAGACTTGCTTTTCTCTCCATTGCCATTGTCATGTCTCAGTGTTATTGATGCTACCACGCTCCTTGTCACCTTTGTGACTCTATTCAGACTCTATTCAGAGGATGAGGGTGGTCTTCATTTTTGTGTACTCAAGGTCACAAAGGATTAATTTGAAAAGCTCCCCGTCATGATTGTTTGCATGATTTCTGAAGATTTCTGTGCTGTAGCACTCAATACCTATGCAGCTGGGCCCTTAACTAAAGGAAAACAAATGCAGAGTAGAGGGAATCAGAGACAGGTCTAGTAAAAATGCTGATGCTCCCAAAGAGAACTGATTCCCCCTCATTCTAAAAATGGTCTTTTCCCTGTCCCTGAACTCTACAGAAAGAGACAGAAAGACTTCGATTCATTGAGAGAGAAAATCGCTGGCTGATGGAGAGGATAGCTTTCATCATGAGGACCCATAATACGTGTGACTTCTTAAACGACTACAGACAAAGATGGTAATAAAGGAGGAGGAGGAGAGGGAGGAAGGTAAAGGAGAAGCTTTAGGCAACTCCAGAGAACTTTTCCACCAAGTCAGAGATAGGTTGTAATCTGAATTGACAGAGGGAGTTCCCACATCTGGAGTTCCCTCCCCACACTGATGAAATCACAGATCCTTCAGGTATTAGAATAGTAACAATAATACTTTATCCCTTGTGTAATGGTTCATAGATCATTAAGTATAATAATAGTAGAATATGATAATTTAAAATTAGATAATAGCAGAATAGTATCTTGTCTCAGGATTGATTCTATTTGAAACCCACCAAAAGAGATGAGAATAATAATTTGCTTTTAAATAGGGCTTTAAGGTTTCCAAAGCACATTTTATTTTCACCACTATTCCTATATACCAAAGGAACAACTCCAGAGTGTAGGACATTATTTAAGAGTATTTGATGGCTAAGTAAAAAGCTGCAAATGCAAATGAAAAAAGTATGAAAATGAGCTTGAGGAATATAGCATTTTAATCCACTTTTTTACTTCATTTAATATTGTATTTTCCCCCCAATTACATGTAAAAACTATTTTCAGCATTCATTTTAAAAACTGAGTTATAAATTTTCTCCCATTTTCCCCATTCCCTCGTTGAGAAGGCAAGCAATTTGATATGTTATACATGTGTAGTCACGCAAAACATATTTCCATATTAGTCATGTTGTAAAAGAAAATGTAGTCCAAAATAAAAAAATAAGAAAAATTAAGAAAGTAAAAAGAGTATGATTCAATCTATATTCAGATTCATCAGTTCTTTCTCTGGGAATGGATAGCATTTTTCTACTATAAGTGCTTCAGAGTTGTCTTGGATCATTGTATTGAATGGCTAAGTCATTCACAGTTGACCATCCTACAATATTGCCATTACTGTGCACAGTTTTCTCCCGTTTCTAATTATTTCACCTTGCATCAGTTAATGTAAGTCTTTCCAGGTTTTTGTGAGAGCATCTAGCTCATCATTTTTTATAGTACAATTATATTCTATCACAATCATATACCACAACTTGTTCAGCCATTCTATAATTGATGGGCATACTCTCAATTTCCAATTCTTTGCCATCAGAAAAGAGCTGCAATTAATATTTTTGTGCAGATAGGTCTTTTTCCTTTTTGTTTTTTATCTCTTTTGTGATACAGACCTGGCAGTGGTGTTACTAGGTCAAAGGGTGTGCATGGTTTTATAGCCCTTTGGCCGTAGTTTCAAATTGCTCTGCAGAATGGTTGAAGCAGTTTACAACTCCACCAACAGTGCATTAATGTCTCATTTTTTCCCACATCCTCTACACCATTTGTCATTTTCCTTTTCTGTCCTATTAGCCAATCTAATAGGTATGAAGTAGTACCTCAGAATTATTTTAATTTGAATTTCTCTAATAGTGATTTAGAGCATTTTTTCATGTGGCTATAGATAGCATTGATTACTTCATTTGAAAACTGACTGTTCATATTTTTGATCATTTATCAGTTGGGGAATGGCTCTTATTTTTATAAATTTGACTCATTTCTCTATATATTTGAAAGATGACACCCTTATCAGAAAAAACTTGCTTCAAATTTTTTTTCACAGTTGTGACTGCAAACAGTTATTTCTCTCCATCTTATTTTCCCCCTGTTCATTCTATGCTTTCTCTCCTTTCACGCTGCCCCTCCACAAAAGTGTTTTGCTTTTGACTACCACCTCCCCCAATCTGCCCTCCCTTCTATGAGCCTCCCCTTCTTCTTCTATTTTCCTGAATGGTAAGATATACTCAATTGAGTAAATATGTTATTCCCTCTTTGAGCCATCTCTGATGAGAGTAAAGTTCAAGCCTTCCCTGCCACTTTCCCCTACCTTCCCCTGTACTGTAAAAGCTCTTTTGTGCTTCTTTTATGTCATATAACTTATATAACCCCGTTCTATCTCTCCCTTTCCCTTTTTCCCAGTGCATTCTTCTTTATCACCCCTTAATTTTATTTTTTTAGATAATCATCCCATCAGATTCAATACACACCCATGCCTTGTGTCTGTGTATACACCTTCTAACTGCCCTAATAATGAGAAAGTTCTTATGAGTTACAAATATCATCTTGCCATGTAGGAATCTAAATAGTTTAATCTTTTTAACTCCCTTATGATTTCTCTTTCCTGTTTAGTTTTTTATGCTTCTCTGTAGTCTTGTATTTGAAAGTTACATTTTTTATTCAGGTCTGATGTTTTCATCAAGAATGCTTGAAAGTCCTCTATTTCATTGAATATCCCTTTTTTTTTTACCCTGAAGGATCATACTCAGTTTTATGGGTAAGTGAGTCTTGGTTGTAACCCTAGCTCCTTTGCCCTCTGGAATATCATATTCTAAGCCCTTCAATTCTTTAATGCTGCTGAATCTTGTATTATCCTGACTGTGGCTTCACAATACTTGAATTGTTTCTTCCTGGCTCCTTGTAATATTTTCTCCTTGACCTGGGAACTTAGAAATTTGGCTATAAAATTCCTGGGAGTTCTCATTTTGGGATCTTTTTCAGTAGCTGATCAATAGATTCTTTTAATTTCTATTTTATCCTCTGGTTTTGGAATATCAGTGCAGTTTTCCTTGATGATTTCTTGAAAGATGATGTCTAGGCTTTTTTTTTCCATCATGGCTTTTATAAAGTCCAGTAATTCTAAAACTATCTCTCCTGGATCTATTTTCTTTTTTTTTTTCAGCCAAAGACAAGGTTTATTAGAACATCCATCATACTGGGCAGACTCTTAAGAAGTCAGAATATTAGTAAGCTATTGGCTAGATTATAAGAATCTGACTAGTGGCTAAATTATAAGAATCTAAGCATCTTAATGGAGACAAGATGGGCCTTATATACAGAAAGACTATGGGAGGGATCTAGGAGTGGCCAAGTAGTCTATGAGGTAATAAAACTCCAAGGGTGGCCAAGGGAGAATGGAGCCTAGATAGGATTAAGAGTGGGAAGTGGCCTGGGGCCATAGGGAGGTATGGAATTATAGCCTCAGGGAAACACCAGAGATTTGGCCATGTGGTAAAGTCCAGAGTTTTTCCTTTTTGGGGTCTAGATCCCATCCTCATCCTTCCCCCCTCAAACAAATGGGACCCAATTTCTTTTGGTGTAAGAAGCGAAGGTCTCATCTTCTGAAACTGCTTCCTGCTGGCAAGGGGCATAGAGCTGTCCCTGCCTCGAGGGGGTCCCAAAGAGAAGGTTGACTGGAACTGAGCACAGTCTGCATCCTGGATCTATTTTCCAGGTCAGTTGTTTTTCTAATGAGATATTTCACATTGTCTTCTATTTTCATCTTTTTGGTTTTGTTTTATTGTTTCTTGATTTCTCATAAAGTCATTAGCTTCTACCTGCTCTGTTAGAATTTTTAAGCAGTGATATTCCTCAGTGAGCTTTTGTATCTCCTTTTCCATTGGCCAATCCTACTTTTTAAGGCATTCCTCTCCTCAAGGGCTTTTTGGACCTTTTTACCATTAAGCTTAGTCTGTTTTTTTAAGGTGTTATTTTCTTTAGTATTTTTGTGCCTCCTTTACCAAGCTGTTGACTCTTTTTTCGTGTTTTCTTGTTATCACTCTCATTTCTCTTCCTAATTTTTCCTCTACATCTCTTACTTGGTTTTCAAACTCCTTTTTGAATTTTTCCGTGGCCTGAGACCAATTAATACTTTTCTTGGAGGCTTTGGATGTCGGAGCTTTGACTTTGTTGTCTTCTGAGTGTGTGTTTTGATCTTCCTTGTCACCATAGTACCTTTCTATAGTCAGAATTTTTCTGTTGTTTGCTCATTTCTTCCAGCCTATTTCTTGACTTTTAACTCTTTGCTAAAGCGGGGCTCTGCTGACAAGTGAGGAGGGTGAACTGTCCCAAGGTTCAGGGGTTTTGTGCAGCTGTTTTCAGAGATACTTCCAGGGATCTTCCAAGGCAGTATGATCTAAGGAGAGGAATGTTTACTACTCTCCTGGCCTGTGCTCTGGTCTGTGAATGGCCACAAGCACTCTTTTCTGCCTTGGAAGTGTAACCAGGTTCCCTACTCCACTGCAGCCTCCAGTGCTGGTGTGCTACTGCTCTTCCTCACCCTGGGTTTACCATCCAGATCCAAGTATGGGCAAAGCAGCAGAATCCTGCCCCCAGTGCCAGCAAAGAGAGTCCTTTAATTTCCTTCTGACTAGTTGTTTGACTCCCCTACCGTCCGAAGGCTGAGAGCCCTGGAAGCAGCTGCTGCTGCTGCTGCTGATTCAGTCACTCCCAAGGCCTACTCCTGGTATGCTGAGAATGGGTCTGTGCTGCAATAGACCTTTCCTGCTGATCTTCTAAGTCGTTTTGGGCTGGAAAATTGCTTCACCTTGTCCTTTTGTGGGTTCTGCTACTCCAGAATTTGTTTTAGGACATTATTTAAAGGTGTTTGGAGGGGTTTTGGGGACAGCTCAGGCAAGTCTCCACCTTTTCTCCACCATCTTCTTTAATCCACTCTTAAATATTTAGATCCTATGTTTGGAAAATAGTCTTTTCTACTCTCCATCTATGAATCAGCTTTTGAGTAGAGGGCTGTCTTGTTTTGCTTTGTTCTTCCCCACCCCTGACTTACTCCATTCCACTCCTAAAAGAGAAGTACATAAAGTTTCTCTACTTAGGGCTCACCATATCAGTAATGGACTTATTGGACCTTTGGCCCTACTTCAGCTCTGAACTCCCAAACTCAAGTGATCCACAGGGCAACAGCTGCAAGTTTCTCTTGAGAGAAAAACAAACAGAGACAAATAGAGACAAGGCAGAGAACCACAAAGAAGTACAAAGAGACAGATAAACAGAAACAAGAACAGATACATATATACATACGGAGACAGAGAGAGACAGAGACAGAGAAAGAGTGTGGGTGCTTAGGTTTTGACTTCGGTTTTTGGTAGCCTAGTGGCACACCACAATTAAGAGCTGTTTTAATGCAGTGGTAATCTAAACTCCATAGATTTCAGAGATG